CCTTTCCCAGGGGTTCTGGGTATTCAGACTCAAAGGCCTCAGTTTCTGTGAGGCTCTATTACTGAAGAGCCAGAGAGTTTGGGGTAAATTTACTTAATCTGCCAGTTTCCTCATTTATGAAATGGAGGCAGTATGAGTACCTACCTCACAGGGAGGTCTGAGGTTAAATGAAAGAATTTAAGAGCTCAGTTAAGAACTTGGCAAAGAGTCGTCACTAAACAACGTAAACCGTTCAAATTCTTATGATTCCTAGTTTGCAGACTCTGCCTTGGACGTTTCATCGCATTTCTGCCTGGAGAATAAACCAGAGTCCAGACCAGTGTCGGCAGGACAAGGAAACTTTCAAAGCCTTATCTGGGGAGTGGAGGTCAGCATTCCAGGCACTTAAAAAAATATGCTCGGAGAAGAATTTGGGAAGAATCCTACGAGCACGAGAGTGTGTCCTCAGGAACACAGTCTGCTGGGCCAGGCCCACACGTGGGAGGACTTGATGATAGCCCGGTTCTGTGAAGACCCCAGGCAACAGCTTTCGCTGTTTTCTACAGGCAGGTTCATGTGCAATTAGTAATTAGCCCGTAGAGGTAAACAGCTACCCTGTAATTTTCAGGGGCAGGAGTCTTCCCCGCATCCCCCATCCTAAAGTCACAGTAAAAGCCCGAGTCCTGACAAGGCTCTCACAGCCTGCCCTCATCCCCTGCTCTGCTGCCCTCTCTGTGCATGCTGGCCTGTGATTCCTGGTATGCTCTGGCCTTGGGGCCTTTTCAGTTCTTCCTTCTGTCAGGGAGAAAGGCAGAGCTGCTTCTCCCCCCACTGGTTTCTGCAGTCTCCCCTGATCCTGGTTAGAACTGCACTTGCCCCTCCCCTCTGGCCTTGCTCCCTGTTCCTCGTTGGCATCATCCTCTTCTAACACATTATGTAACTAATTAATTTATTTGGTGTGTTGTTTGTTTCACAGTCTTCCCCCCACCGCCCAGGGTAAGCTCCCCAAGGTCCGGGATCTGTGTTCTGTCCGTGGCTGCATCCTGGTGCCTAGAACAGGGCCTGGCACCTGTGGGCTCAGTGTTTGTAGAGTGACTGCCGGTGAGTCCACAAACTCACTAGTTCAACAGGCTGGTGAACTGGCCTCCAGCCAAGGCCTTCCTAGCGGAGGACCCGTGGAGGGCTGGACTCACATTTCACAGAATTCTTTCACTGAGAGATAATGTGTCATTGGCCTTTATTCAGGCCCAGCCACAGCCTTATCAAATGACCCACATACGGGACATCAGGAGGGCGAGTCATGTGACCGTCTGGGGATGCCTGTAAACCCAGCCAGACTGGAGATTTCATACTTTGCAGAATGGAAGTAGTAGGGTGATTAAAATTTCTGGCTTTTCTGGGATCTTTCTATCACACTGCTAATTTACCTCCCACTGACAGCATTTTGACACAGCCTCATCCTTACCTTGAAGGGATTCATTTTAGTGATGGGCCCATGGATTATCTTTTTTCCTCTATTTTTCTGCGTTTTCTTTAATAAGCATTTATGACTTGAACATGAGAACTGACCGATGACTTTGGGGTGGGGGGGCTTCCTCCTACATACGCATAACTCTTTTATAAGGTAGAGTCACGTGTTCTTAAAGTCATTATCACCTGTCAAAATCCCTGGAAGAGCCAGTTGCTTGAAGGACTGACAATCCCAGTGAAAGAGCAGAGAGAGGGCTTGCATAATCTTGGCAAGATAATCAATACGAGATGAGTTTCTCTCCAAGGATTCAAAGGTATTTTTTGAGAAGCCATGACGGGAGGGTGAGATTTGACTTTAGCATCTGGGCCACCAAGGGCCTGTAGCCAATGGGACTTTCCAGCTTCAGAGGAGACCGTGAAATGCAGAGAATGCTTTATTTGACATCCAGGGACATGGTGCAGAGTCACCTTAATCCGCAAAGAAGTGATACAATCCTGGCTATTCGTGAGGTATTTAGAAACAAAAGTTAAAAATGAGATCAGACTGAAATATACACAAGCCATAAAAGTGCTATCCACACTGTAAAGGGCTCTGCAAATGTTCGGTGTTGATGTTTCTGGATTAGCTGGACCCTGAATTTAATGGAAGGAAAAATAAGTTTGAGTCCAATCATGACTAGTTGCGTGACTCTGAGCCAGTCATCCCACTTTCTTGGTGTGTTTTCTGGTTTAATGATGCTCTGTTTGGTTTTACCTCATTGGACTCTTAAGAAGCTAAACAGATGTGGAGATACTTGGAAAGACATAGAGCTTGATAAAATCTGAGGTGTTACTCTGTAGCCTCTGAATTGGTCAAGGCCTCCTGGAGACTAAAATTCCATGCATAACTTCCTATGAGAGTCATATTGGGGAAAAAGCCCTTCCCTTAAGTAGACGTGCTCCCAAAGTTAATATTTAAATGAATTTTCTCTTTAAACGTTGATTGCCAATTCTCCCAAGTCTGGGTGACAGCTGTTTTCTCAGGGGCACCCAATTCACAGTGGGCAATCAACGTCTTAATGTAATGATGTTCCTTCCATATTAAATTATTTCTGTAAAAATTCCATAAGGGATAAGGGATAAGGTGGGGGTCCCCCCCAAAGGAGGCAGCCAGAAAGCAGGATGCTGATTACAGCTTCCCAGGTCAGGAACCTGTGCTTGGGTTGGAACCTACTTCCCTTTCCCTACCGGATGGGACTTTCGGGGACATCTGTACTGCCTGTGGGGATATAGGGCCTCTCTCTGTGCCTGGATGTGTCAAGGGTTCCCAAGACCAAATTAAAACAACCAGAGGGCAGTCAGACGGGCTGGAGAGGCAGTGGAAGTAGCAAGAAGGGTGGAGATGACCATCAGGTGACAGTCTTGCTGGAGTGGGAGGTATTTCCAGCCTCTGGAGAGGAAAGGAGAGCGTGCAGTCCTTTTGTAAAGGGTCTGCTCCAAAGCAGGTCCCAGCCTCCCGTGGGTTTGGCAGGCCATCTGGCCCTTGGGCTGTGATGGGGACCAAGTCCTGGAGAGGGGGACCCTGTCATGGCCCAAGATGGGAAGAGGCTGGTCTTGCTTTAGCAAGCAGGGTCCCTGTGTGCTACCCTCACTGTGGTATCATCTGTGCCAACATGGTATCTGCCACCAATCAGTGCTCATAAATACTCACTAAATCAGTAATTGGAGAGGGGTAAACCTATTAGCCGTGACCACAGAAGCATCTGCAAACTGCCCAGGGTCCCTGCTGCTGATAAAAAACGGTTTGGACAAAATCTCTTGGTTGATAGATGCTAAATTTCACAACATATACATTATAGTACCTGTTATGGTACAATAAAAGTATATATAATTCATAATTTTTAGGTTTCAAAAAAATGTGGCCCATCAATTCAAAAGTTTGAAATAGTTAACATTATTGTCCATGAAATTAGAAATATTTACTCAGTTACATTGAAATCCTCAGAGAAATCAACCCCATAGCTTTTTAAGAAGGGGAAGCAATTGATTGACACACAAGTGGGGATTTGGGGGAAGGAAGCATATGTGGGGAGTCTGGGTATGGAGGTCTTTTTTAAGCTTTTATACTTTCCTACTTCAAGGTGGCTGTGATGTGTCCTGATCTCCTCCTTCTGGACAATGTTTGTCTAGATAAGACCTTTCTCTAAGATGAGCCTTGTCAAAGGAGTCTTTGTGAAGGGCCTAGTCGAGGTAGCTGTGGACAGCACAATATTCCACTTACAAAATCTGTTTAACTGTCATTTGTGTAAGTAGAGTTATATAAACAGAAAACAGTTCTATTTTTTTCTTCGCCACGCAATCAAGCCAAACACTAGGACCAACACCATCAGGCGGAAGCCTTGGGGTCCAGGGGAGGGGACCGTGGCCACGCCCTGAGTCAGACACGGGCGCCATCTGGAGGACCCCCTTGGAACTACAGTGCACCAAGTGAACCACCTAATGTTTTCAAGCATTGAAGGTGAACAGGTGGGCAACTGAGGCAGGAACCAAATGCCTCCATCCCGTGGCCTGAGCTATCGTTTCAAGCTTCCAGCAGAGGATCGAGAATAGTGTTAATAAGTGAGGCACCTTCAGCCGAGGCAGAAAATGCAACTCTAACATCCAAAGAGTGTTCACATTAGCTCTCTGGTCAGTCTAGGTCAGGAAGTGCCTGCAGTGTGTCCTCAGTTTGCTGCATCCTGTTGTCTCTTCTCCTGACCTCTAGTGGGGCGGCACACATATCCATCAGAATCTGTATTCCCAAGAAGATGTAAACGAATAAGAGTTTAGTTTGTTTTAGAAGGATTTACTTTTTGATTGGCTACAAGGCTTAGTTAAAAAGAGAGATTTAACGGCCGAATTTCCCAGAGAGGTCAACTGTCGGCTTTGGTGGATTAAGAATAAGAACCATCTCCTTTATCAAATACTTAATTATTCCTTTTAAACAAACTAGGTCTCTGCCTTACTGATACGATCACTTTCATGAAACTGTGTTCAAAGGACTAAGTATTTAAACTCTTAAAAGTCTGAGTAGTTAAAAACACCTGCGTTTTCTGTTGATCTATTTCCAATGAGATGCTGGTAATTTCTTATGAGATAGTAGTTCCCTCCTTCAGTGCTTCTCAAATATCTCTTGGGAATAAAAATATTTTTTTAAATTTCTAAGCACTTGAGGGACCAATATTTGTGTAAACTAACATAAACATTTTATGAATTTCGTATTCATATCTAAAAGTTCAGTGTCTCCATCTGTACTTGTCACAGACGGTTCTGTGCATAGGCTGGTCTTGGTCTATCTCCTGTTCTCGTTGAAAAATACGTGCATTTGGCTCAAAGATCACTGCCCACCACGACCACCACAGTTATAGTCAGGAGCGTAACTTACACCTTCCTTCCAACTTTGAAAAGAATGTCATCTACCGAATCCATAATTACAAACATTGCAGACATTTTCTCGTCCGCATTTAAAACTGACCCCCTACTTGCGCTGTGTTGACATAGCTTTCCATTCCCTCGTTAGTAGTTCAGCCCGGTTCGGTGTTGCTAACTTTATTGGCGGTGAACTTGGTCTGAACACCAGAAGCTTGTGTAAGACATTGGGGTAGCACAGAAGTTCAGGGGTTAGACGATTAACAGGAGAAATCCATCTGGGGGAACAACGGAGCTAACAAGACACAGGGTTTCTTGATATAAAGGTTATAGGAAAGCTTCGCTGAATTCCCCCCTCCACACACAGAAATACTGGTTGAGTCTTCTGAATTGGTAAGTGATTCTGGTGTTCTGAAGTTTCTTTCATCCACGGGTTGGAGGGCAATGAATTCTTTTTTCTTAACCTAATGATCCTAAAATTGAAAATTCATCGTGGCCATGTATTAAGTGAAGCGTTTGTACGTTTCCGTTTATAAGACCCAAACCCCACACATCTCTCAAGAAGAAGAAAACAGAGACCCCAAGACAACAAAGTAACAGTAACAGAAGAGGTTCATCAAAAGGGAGTGAAAAACCACTTTTCTTTTTAGTCAACAGAGACCTCATACTGATAAGAAAGGCAGCCTCTAGGGAGGTTCCCACAGTCCTGTCGCTGCCGCCCCCTTCACCAGCTCAGTGCAGAAGTCAGTCCTCAGGGAGGGCTGCGTGGCCAGAACACGGTGACTGCAAGTACCACCCATCCCATAGCAGCTGCTGGACGGCGATGTCCTAAACAGAGCATTCTGCCTACGGGACGCCTGGTTCACTGCTCTTACCCAAAGGAGCCTTCGGGGACCAACCCACAATGAGCGTGCACACACACGCACGCGCACACGCACGCGCACACACACGCACACACCCATGCCTGTCCTGGGGCTTGATTATTTGAAGCTGCTCTAAAGCTGAGGACCCTGAACTAGCATGGTCCTTTCTGGGGCAGCTTCTATTTAAGCAGCTGGACCCTGGGTTCCTCTTGAAATAACCGAACCCCTGGTGGGACTCTTAGAACCAATTCATGTTACCAGGGGTTTTCTGAACATGCTGAACATCTGGAGAAGATTCTCTGGAGCAAGCCGCAGATCCGGCAGCACTAATAAATCTTGAGTCAGCCTGCGATGCCCAGTCTAAAACTGAAGGGTCCCAGGACACCCAGCGGTATCCATGCTTGTTGGCTGGGCCACATGGGGGCCCTTGGCACTGCATTTTCTAGTACCGTTTACATTAGTATTATGTGAGAGTAAACTTCCTGGATGTCCACAAGGATCCAGGCCTATCCTGGAAGGAGGACTGCTTCGTCGGCCTCTAGGTCACCACGCAAGGTACAGGTGGGAGTGAACGGCATGTTCGAGAAGACAGCCAGGCAGACATCATCCTGAGAAAAGGGTCAGTGCTACAGTGGGCAAGGGAAGAAGGACCAGAAGTCAAATGAACCGAGTAATGTATTACGTCAAAGGGTTTCACTGAATCGTCTTGAAGATTCTGACTTCTCCACCCCAGACCATCTGAAATCCAAATGAAATCGGGCCCTTGGGTCAATGTATCCAATCACCAAAGACCAACATTGGGTAGGATGCCCATCTCAAACAGTGTGGTCCAGCCACCAACTCCCTGTCCAGTCCAACTGTATTATCCCTTCAGCCCAGGGCTTGCCCTGGAGGCCACAGTCAGAACTTGGCTAAGTTTTCAGGCATGAAGGTGGCTCTTTATTCAGTGTCTGACGAGTCTAAGCCAAGGTCCCGTCCCTTTCTGTGTCTCCTAAGGCCGTGGCCCAGCGGGGAAAGGAACAGTCCTCTCACTAATGACAATGACCACAAAGCTCTTGCATCCTTGGGCCTCCCAGTGCCATAACCAGAGCCACCCCTGGAAATGTGCACTCATTGAAAAGCCCGCTCTTCAGAACAAAAAGTCAGCGCCCCTGGTTGTATCAAGTTTTCCCCAAACCACAACAGGCTGCCTCCACGCCTCATCGCACCTGCCAGCCTCAGGAATCTTTCTTGGTCAGTCTGGCTTTGATTTTTTGTCTCAGGAGGGCTGCAGTGGCGGCACTGCAGGCCACCAGGACGAAGAAGGAGAGGCAGGCTGTGTAGACGGACAGGGGACTGTGGCGTTGCAGGAATATCTCCTGTCGCCCCTTGTAGTCCAGGAGGATGGCCTCCAGCTGGGAGAGCGTGCAGACAGACAGAAAGGCATGGAAGATCTGATGCCCGTGGCCCACAATATCACAGGAGCCCGGGAAGTACTTCTCCGGAACCGGGCAGGAGAAGAAGTAGGCACTGACCAGGAAGAAGACGATCTGGAGGGAGTGGTACCAGACCGCCTGCTCCTGGCAGCCAGACAGGTGGCACAGGACCACGCGATGTGCCACGGGGCTGATGTCCAGGATGAAGGCCAGCCCCGCCGGCACCACCTGGCAGACCTTCCTCATGACCGGGTAAGGCCTCCGGTAACGATACTTGGCGTAGCAACAGCCGGCGCAGGACAGCCAGCCGCAGAAGGCGGCTGCGGGCAGGAAGAAGAGCCAGAAGCGCTCGTACCAGGCCTGGTCGGAGCTGTAAAAGAAGTGGACCAGGGCGCTGCCGTACTGGTAGATGCTCACGCCCACGTAATCCACGAAGTAGAAGGTGTAGTGCGAGAGCTCGGACTTGGACTGCAGCAGGTGGGCCAGGAGGCTGAAGGTGAGGTACGTGATGGAGGACAGGACGTAGAGCAGCAGGGGCAGGGCGTGGGCGGTGGTCCACGGCAGGCCCTCGGCCTCCACAAAGGCCCAGAACCGCAGGAGGACGGCCAGCGCCGCCAGCAGGTGGGTCCAGACGTTGACCACCTCGTTGTGTTTCTGGAAGAGGCTGAGGAAGTAGTAGCGCCACTCGTGCCCGGTGGGGCGGTAGCCGGCGTGGATGTACGGCTCCCGGAAGAGCTGGGGCACGTCGCTCTCGGGGACGGTGCCGGGCATCTTGGGCAGCCCGTCCTCCAGGATCTTGGGCAGGCGGCGCAGGTGCTGCCCGCTCACCGACAGGGTGCTCAGCCGCTCCAGGATGGCGGTCGTCATGGCTGCACGGGATGCAACCTAAAGAAGACAGAGCAAAATGGGCAAAACTGTGGTGAGGCGGGGCTGAGCCGGGCAGGGGCGAGCCGTGGGCTTCCTAGTGCAGCAGGGGAGGCGGGGGCTGCAGACAGCGTTCTTCGAGCCTCAGTTTTCTCATAGGTAGAGTGACCGAGTTGGACCGAGATCCCGTTTTACCCTAACCTTCTGATCTTGTCTCTGCTACCCACCCCAGTGTGAGGCCAAGTCACATCTCGTAAAATGGAATGTTAGGTACCCCGTTTTAATGACATCTGGAAGGTGATGAAGGGTATACCTTTCAAGCTTTGGAGTTTTCTCGATGACATTAGAATGTAATCATCAGACGGGCTCTAACAGTACAAAGTACTATATTGAAATATAAAAATGATCAATATTGAGAAGATGTGGTGTATTTATACAATGAAATACTATTCAGCCATAAAAAACAACATGATGACGTTTGCAGCAACATGGATGCTCCTGGAGAATGTCATTCTAAGTGAAGTAAGCCAGAAAGAGAAAGAAAAATACCATATGAGATCACTCATATGTGGAATCTAAAAATAAAAACAAAACAAAAACATAAATACAAAACAGAAACAGACTCATAGACATAGAATACAAACTTGTGGTTGCCAAAGGGGGCGGGGGGTGGGAAGGGACAGACTGGGATTTCAAAATGTAGAATAGATAAACAAGATTATACTCTATAGCACAGGGAAATATATACAAGATCTTGTGGTAGCTCACAGCAAAAAGAAAATGTGACAATGAATTTATGCATGTTCATGTATAACTGAAAAATTGTGCTGTACACTGGAATTTGACACAACATTGTAAAATGACTATAACTCAATAAAAAAATGTTAAAAAATTACCAAAAGTCAATTCTAATAATATTTTAATAGCTTGGAACTATGAATACATTTATCCATAGAAACAATGTTATGCATAAAAAGTAGATCAACAGACTGGTCTTCAAAGATTTGATTTCATTTAATTTAAAGTGTTGCATGTTTACAATGGAAAATATTATGACAATATGGTAATTAAATAAAAGAAGGCAAAATTAGGAAAAAAAGATCAATATTGATATGACTGATGGTGGCCTATATTTCTGGCACATATAATCTTTTTTTAAATTTATTTTTATTTTTTAAATTTTGTGAGGGGTAATTAGGTTCATTCATTTCTTTCTTTCTTTTTAGAGGAGATACTGGGGATTGAACCCAGGACCTTGTGTGTGCTAGACATGCACTCTACTACTTGTGCTACATCCTCCCCCCACCCCCCGCCCTGGGTACCTAATCTTAAATTATCCACGAGTTTCACTGGGAACTTGAAAATCTGAGATAAGCAAGAGTAACTTGAACCTCAAAGTAAAGACAGACAAATGAGCCATCGAGCAGGTTGGTAAAGACCAAGGCATATTCTGGGAAGTGTTTAATCAGTCAAACAAAATTAACATGTGGCCTAAATTTAACATAAAATCCAGTTGCAAAGATTGTGGGGGTTTGTTTGGGTTTTTTTGTTGCTGTTGGTTGGTTGATTTGTTTTTTAAATTATGCTTTGGAAAGCAAGTCGTTCTGGACTTGCTTCTCTTAGGTAACTCAAATCTGTACCCAGTAAATTTCAGGCCTCAAAGATGTTGAATTTGCTCTTTGAATTTTTAGATGAGAAATGAGCCAGTTGAACAGAGCAATCCTTTCGTAAAATGGCTGCAGAATTTCCCATGAAGTTACTGAGCAAAGCAATGGACGCTTAGCCTGTCGACAGCGCTCTTCCGTACTTCCTACTTCTCAAATGCTTTTCTTCAGAAAAGTTCAAGATCCAGTTGATCCCAATGGGCCCATCCTTCCGAGTCCTTCTGCAGCAGGATACAGCAAGCACTTCTCAGGGCACTGCAGATTTTAGCCAAGAAAACGTAATCTTCCTACACACTCTTCTTAATCAATATTGGCAGAGGAAAAATACCCCATCAGGTCAACGTAGAAACAGCCCAGGGAGACCTGGAGCCAAGTGCAGCCACTTCCGGGGTGGCCTTGGGCAGCCCTAGAACCTGCTAAGGTTCAGTCTCTTCATCTGTAAAGTGGGTGGTCATTTTACACATCAGATGGGCTGGTGTGCCATAAATGTGTGGATAAATGAGAGAATCTAAACAAAGTGCTAGCACGCTGCCTGGCCTGGCTGGGTGCTCAGCGAGCTACCGTTTGATGACTGGGAGCTGGCCTCTGTGCTGGGGGCACAGAGACTGATACTATATGCTCCCTGCCTAAGAGGAGGTCAGAAGCTACAGGGCAGACAACAGAAAAATCATGACAGAAACATGTGATGAGTGTCCCAGTGGTTCACTGTTTGTGTTTTTCTCTAACATTGATAAAATATATTTATTTAGGGATAATAGAGGGGCCATCCATAAGTGATATGTGAAAGGAACAGAGAAAACACGTTCAAATAGTTCAGATGAGAGATACACTTGTGGCCCATAGACCACTGGTTCTCAGGGTCTCTGCAAAAAACCAGCATGGAAGGCGGGAGGGAGGGTGTGCAGGTTTCTCCAAGGGGCCCCTGAACTAAGTCTTAAGGAACAGTCAGCATTCCCAAGAGAAGATGGGGAAGGAGGTTGGGCAGGGGGTGGTAGGTAAAAGATGTCCAGGCAGAGAACAAGGTCCAAGAACTCATGCTAAGATACAGCCTGCAAAGCCCGGGGGTGCCCGAGGAGGTCACACTTGTGTGGCCAGGAGAAGGACACTGACTCCAGAGACCCAAGCTCCAGCCTGGAGTCCCATCCGCAAACCTGGAGCTCCAGCCTGGCTTCTGTCATCTGGGAAGCAGGGCTAATGACGCAAGGGCTGTGTGGTGTAATGCTTGAAGGGCGTTTGACACAGGGCTTGGTCCCAAGTCAGCAAAGCACACTATGTTGCCATTATCATGACATCGCTGGTGTGGGAAGCAGGGGTGGCTGGTGAGCAGAGGACCCAGGGCCCCTCCGGACCTGGAACCTCCTTTCACAGCAGCCTCTGTACCCCAGTACTGAGACCTGTGTTTAGCCAGCAGCCACCAGTGGTCCCCAACCAGGAATGGTGCCCATAGAGGAATTAAAGACAGCAAAAGAAACTTACTTAGTAAATGACTGCAGGGTCAGACAGAAAAACAGAAAGAGAGGGAGTGGGAGAGAGAAAGAAAATGTCATCAGAATACCTTAATACATTTAAAAACTAAAAAGGTGGTGGGGGGAGAGGAAAGGCTAAGCAGTGCTTCCACTATCCGCCAGCAGGGGGATCCTAGAGCCTGAGGGTTAAGTTCTGCACAGTGACACCTCCAACTGACCTCGGTGGTAGTTGGTGACAAGGCCAGCAGAAGTGAGGGAGGGGACAGGGGAATTGGGATCAGAGGGACCTACTGCAGGGCTGGGCCTGGGACAAGGGATGGCATTGCCAGTTACCCTGTTGCTGTTGGCTGAGAAACAATGATCTAGGGGCGCTGGGCTCGTTGGGGCTTGCTGGGAACTAAAAGGCTCTGTGCTCTAGACACAGGCTTCTGCCGTCTCTTGTGAAGCAGAGAGGGAAGTCAGATGGAAATATCAGTCTGGTTTTCCGACTGAGAAGAACAGAGGTGAGTCACTGGGGACATGAGAATCCCTGAAGAGGCTCCCCGCTATGCCCCGCCTCGCAGCCATCCAAGGTCAAGGGTGTTCCCATCACCTCTGGGCACCCAAATCAATCGGAGAGAATTCTGCACCCGGGGGGAGGTAACACATGACTGCACAATTCTGCTCACCTTTCTGTCCTCTAAAATGGGGCTCTCATAGCAACTGTAGGTCCTTATGAACAGGCAAGGCAGCTGAATTTCCAAAGATGGATGTTTGGTGCTTAGAACTGAGCACAGTTGAGACCTGGGAACAGACAGTTCAGAGGCAGAACAGACAGACCACGATACTGCCTGTGGCTGGTCTCCGGAGTCCCGTTAGGAAGCTCCGCCCTAAAGAGCTCCTCCGGCCCCCTCCCCCCGCCAGCCTGACCTCATGGCTTTATGTCGATGCGTCCTTTTCAGAGAATTATTTCCACTGCTCTCCTAAATTGTGGAAAATAAGCCAGGAAGAGGTTTATAGAACTAAGAAGTGGAGAGGTACGTGACCAAAAGGATATTAACTTTTAGCTTCAGAGGAAGAGGGGCACAAGAAGAATCATCATTCCAGTTACAGATGAAGGCCTCCTTTTTCAGGGGTCTTTAAAATGCAGCCGCGTGAGTCTTGGGGGCTCCTTAGTAACTCGGTGCCCTGGGGCACGGAGCCTACACCCACGAGGGCCTGAGTTCCAGGGATGCGAGCACCGTGACCTCCAACTCGAGGCATGACCCTTTACCTCCCTCAGCAAGGAGGGTGCTAGAAAGACGTAAGTCCTCTATCCCAGGGTGAAAAGGACCTAATTTTCCCTTTGGAAGCCCAGGGTCACGAAAAATTCGCAACTACTGGTCAGTAAGTGAGAGGATTATTTCTCTGTCCTTTGTGATGGACCCCCTCTTCCCTGCCCGAATTCTCCCTTCATCCGAGGGCAGCTCCCACGGCCACACGATGGTAAAGAGTTCTAATTCTCTTGTCATCTTGAACCTCAGAAGTCGCTGTCCAGTGAGGTTGACCCAGCAACCCCTCAGACAGGCTTAACCTCAGCAAGCTGGGGTGGGCAGGGCTTCCAGAAACAGGCCTCGAAGGACCAGCTGTACAGTCTGAGAGCAGGCTTCGGAGGAAGCCACATCCTGCCATCACCTTGTTGATGCAGGCACACACACTCCCCGCCACTCCCTTCCCCAGCCTTCCCCGGGGGCCGCTCAGTCTCCGGGCCCGTCTGTCATCCCTGGCCTCTGCCCCCACGCACTCCTCCCTCAGCCCACCGAGGTGGCACCCTTCGATCTCCCTTGCGTGGGGTACCCTCCGACTCTGAGCTGAGACAGAGGAAATGGAAAGCTTCCTTGAACCGGATAAGCTCAAGTCTTGACAATCTGGA